CAGACCTATATTAACCTATATCAATCCCCCCGCTTTTTTTTTTTTTTTTAAATATGAAGTTCTTGAGCTGTCTTACTGTGCTGTGATTTTAAAATATATCTGGGGTGTTGATATCAGGTTAGCAGAAGACAGGAGGTAGGATATAAAATTAACCACTGCTTTTGATTATTTAAGTTGTATGTTACCACTATCCATGACTTTTTAGATCTTAACTGTGATCTTTTGTTCTGTTTGCTGTTAAATCCTCCTACCCCCTTCCATTGTAAGTAGCCTGCTCTCATGGGTTATATGGGGGGGGTTGCTTATTGTAAATACACTGTTTGCCTAAAAGAACAGCCTTTATCAATGGGGAAGTAGATGCCCTAATAATAATGTTTAATAAGCAAAAAGCAGAATCGTGTCTTGAGCGTAGCTCTGGTTTTGCTCCTGGTAGTCACAGTTTGTAATTGCTTTTACCAGTTCTGCTGTGATCACCAGCTTTGCAAATAAGAGCTGTTTAAAGCACTCCCCATCTTTAGATCTCAGATACTGCGGTAAGATTATGGTATATCTCTCTGCTTCATGAACATTGAAAGATCTCTTTTTAGGTCCATCACAGCCAGTGAATTCCCCTAGATCCTACAAACATAGCCAACGGAGAAGAAGATCACAGCGTTTAGCCACTTGCTCCTTGCCTGATGATTCTGTAGAAAAAGTTTCTTCTCCCTCTTCAGTTACTGATGGAAAAGTGTTCTCCATCAGTGGTCAAAACCAACAGTCATCAAAATTGGAGGGTAATGTATCTTAATCTATAAAGAACTGCCCAAGAGAAATTGAATCATAAATATTAGACCTTTCACGGTTTTCATCTAATGGGATGTTTTGACTTACTGTAGCTAAAGCTGTATGCTGTTCCTATGTTATGTAACGCTGCAACCCAAACTGTTGTTTGTTGGAACCATGTATCTTTTTTAATATCACATTTTTTCTTTTATGTAGTACCTGATGTTGCTCATATGTCGCTTGAGAAGCGTGGACCGTGTCTCCCTCTTGATTTAAGCCGTAGTTCGGAAGTTACAGCACCATTATCCACAGAATCCGCTTTTCGTAATGAATATCCCAGTAAAGACAAGGAAGATATTCAGATGATTGCATATCTTTCTTCCAAAGCAGTAACTGATGGAAGAGTAGCTACAACAGTGTCAGGTAAAGAGATTCAGTATACAACCAGTTAGGTTTATAGTTGTAGGGTTAAAATGTGTATGTATTCAGTCACATGGAAAGAGGGAGTACTTTTATTTTCTGCACACTTGCGAACCTGCTGCTCTTCCTGGGGTCCATCCATCTGCATATTCTTTGTCTTCTGCTGGCTTGTAGCTGCATTAGCACTTTTTCTAACACACTTCAAGGAAGATCTGACAGTGTAGAATATAAAAAGCAGCATTTGTTTCAAAAAATATTTTATATTGTTAAAACTTGTAAAAATAATTTATGAAGTTGTTTACTAACGTACCAATATATGCTGAATCTAGATGTACTCATTTATCTTGTGGCTTCAGCTTTAAAACTTAGTAGCATTTTCAGAGGCAATCAGCATCGCTCTACCTTTGCTTCTGCTTGCAATGGAAGTTTGTCATTTGCTTGCTAAGAAACGTTACTTGGAAATGTTTCTGAAAAATCCTCTAAAACTTACATGGATTTGGTTCACTGTCACAGAGTTGGCATAGAGCCCAGTGCTGGAACTCTGTGCTGCCTCCCACTTTGTAACTGTTTACTGGCTGCTGTGGTTTGAATGAATCACTTGGATAGAAGCAATTAAGAGACTTGGGGAAGGGTTTACATAGTGATTTGCAGACCCTAAATGTGGGTTGTTTCCATTCAGTGTATGTTAGATATCCATATGCTTTTTTCATAAATAAGTCTCTTATGTAGATATGTATCATATCATTTTTAATTGGCTTCCAAGAGAGAATTCTCTCACAAGCTCCTTTTTTTTTAAATTAATTTAAATGAGAAAATTGTTCAATAAGGTAAAAGGAGGAAAAAAATCAAGTTGTTATACTCTGCTGGGGAAGTTTTTGGTAAACATGTAAGGGAGGACAAATGACCTTAAAGTATGTAATTGTGGCACTCAAACTACATTGTGTTTAGGAGGAAAAAAACCCAACAAAACAACTTTGCGTTAAGCTGATAGTATAGCTGCAGTGCTCAATAGGTCAGGGAAGCATTTTGTTTAGTATGTGCAGCCCCACGTGGATGTCTGCCCACACATGTTCACACTGAAAATACAAGGTGATCGCTTCATCGAGTTGTAACATAGCTATTCAACCTGATGTAGGCTGGATAGGATTCTTGGATCGATGTTGTGTAGATTGAAATAGATGATTGTAATTATCCTTTCTCTCTCTCAAAAAAAAAAAAAATCTATTAAACTAATTTGTCATAATAAGGGCTATGGGAATTTCTAATGAGTTGCCACTCAAGCTTTTAAAAATATTACTTAATTTCTGAAGTGAAACCATGTGACAGTCATGGTTTACCTTTGATACGTTGCAGATTCCTAGGAAAATTACTTCTGTAGAAGTCCTTCGATCTCGTATCTTCTGCCACTAAGAGACGTGCCTTTGGGAGATGTGTATTTGCCCACTCGTAGAACAAGATCATAAAAGAAACCAACAGCTTCCAACTGCCATCTGTTTCTTGCTTATTAGAACTCATTTCAGTGACTAGGAATTTAACTTCTGTTTATTCTGCTATTTTTTTCTGGATGATTTAGTGTGTAGTTGGTGATGCTGATGGGTATTACTGTTGTTGCCGCTTCTGTCGTGGGACTGTTGGATTCTGAGTGAGCTGGTTCTAAACCCAGCATCCATGACCACACTTGTACCTGTTTATTTGTTGAGCTTGTTCTTGGCCGCAACTGAGTCTAATGAAAAAAATAATATGTTTCGTTTATGGCCATCTTTATTTATCACTCAAAAATATTTGACATGTCCACACACTTTGTGTCAGGGAAAACCATTCTCTGAGAAAATTACCTGGCATTACTGCTTGAGTCCAGAATGCGAAGATTGAAGCACTTGCAACCCATGCTGGAGGATGCAGTTTAGCGGAGCTTTTTTTGGTCCTACATGATTTTAAGAGCTATAAGCTCTCAAGGAACTGATTTGTGAGCTACCTTTTGTCTTCTGGGTTTTTGCCTTCCAGACAGACCTGTGTTTCGTTCCTAATTTTCATGTATTACAGTTTTCCTCCATGCAATCACTAGAACTCTGTCTTGAGCTATTATGCTTACTTTTTATCCAAATGTTAGAAGTTTTCTGAAGTATGCAGCCCAGCATCCACTTGAGCAGTAAGGTTTGTGGGCTGAAAGACTAATCTAAGTGATACCTTTAATTTGGAGATTTCATAGAAAGTTTTGGCACTAGCTGCCTCTGTCAGTAGTATCTCTAGGACTCTGTAACTTAAGTTCTTGCGTCTTTTGAGTTCATCTCAGGCTTCTAACTGGTGAAACTTGTTTGACTCCTCCTCTTCCTTCTTATTTTTCTTAGAAGAAAAAGAAATGTAGCTTTTAAGTTCAGATTTGAAACCTCTGGAGTGACTTTACGCTGTTGAATAATTTTTTGTTGTGTTCTCTGTTTTAGAAGGCCACTTTTGAAATAGCACAGATTCTCAAGCCATGTTACTTAAGTACACATAGTTACACCAAACTCTTGGAATGTTTCAGGAGAATTAATGTAAATCACTCTATTTATCACTACTTTTCCTTTTCTAATGAACCTGTTTAAACCATGGCAAGCTCATATATAAAGGAGAGTTGCCCAAAGCTTTTCCTTCTCATTCCTGTCAATGCTTGAAGCTATTAAGAATTAATTTGCTTTATGCAGGAAGATCTGCCTGCCTAAGTGTATATTATATTGTTTAGAGTGTGCATTGTGATCCTGTACATTACAATTTGAGAACTCTGGTGTAAAATCCAGACTATTTTGTAATTGTCTACTTTTTTTAATTTAACAACCTATTTGAAATCTATGTCCTTTTATGATATTTCTGCTTTTTAGATTTTATTGACACAGTCTGGACAGGTCTGGTGGTCTAGATTTTGGCAACACTATGGAATTTGCTAAGTGCATTTAAATTTGACCTGCTGTCTTCGTAATCCTTGAAGTAGATTACTGTAGATAGTTTCAAAAATTATGGAGCTAACAGAAGTGTTTAGCCTGAAACAGCCTATTGTGATTGCTGGCCCCTTTGTCAAAGAGCTGTACTGTTACAGACTCAGGGGTGCAATTTGTGGCTTTGGAAGTTTGGACTTCTGATGTCTGGACTTCAGTTGAGTCAATTGAAAAAATAATTTTATGCTGTTGAAAATGATGCATTTTAATGACTTATTTATTCAAAAGATACTAACTTGATGTTTTTCAAAGGGGAGGGACGAGGTGCCCTGAATCTGAAACACAGAAGCTTAGATGGCAACTCTTAATCTTAACACATACATCTCAAAATCAGTGTTCAAAATGAACAACTTGTCATTTCGTACAGGCACCGTGCAAGCACTGTGATCGATTCCTTCGGTCCACAGGCTACGTGGGAGTACTGTGTGGTGCACTCCCAGTTAGTTATTGAGCAGAGGTACTACTTTGCCTAAATATTGTTTAGGCCTACTGGTCATCACCTGATACTGTACACACACATAGCTAAGAATCCTTGCTTTCATTTATCAGACTGCTTAGCATGTAGATAACTACCCTTTTTGTCCCTTAGCCTTGCATCGAGTTCTTAGCTGCAGTCAGTCAGAATGCAAGCAAAATGTTGTAGTTTTCCAGTTCTGATTACATGAAGTTCAGATCTTTCTGTAGTTGTAATTTTCTTTAAATTTGTGATCAATTTTCTTGGTTTCTGTAACCCTGCACCATTTGTGCTAGCTTAACTGTTATATAGTGAGCACACATGGTTTCAGCAAGCAGTCTGAGTTTTAAAATCTAAGTAAAAGGAAAATACTGTCATATTGCTAATATAGCAATATAATATTTATAATACTAATATGAAAATGTTGTAATTAGCTGTTATTTCCTATTCTAGACTAGTCTGGATGATTTTACTAGTAGGGTAATGTTAGGTTAACTATATGGGGGAAAACTGCACTTACACTAAACAAAAAAAATTGTATACTTTTACATAGTTTTATTGGCAACAGTTTACTGCAGCAGGAACAAGAAATGGCTGATGTCTGAAATTTCCGGAAAACGAGATGAATCGTTTTTTAATAAACTCTTGCCAGTGTATTGGTTACCTTGCTTTTAAGAGGTATCTAGACTCTAGTGAACTAAAGCTCTTGTTACTTTGTAGCTGTTTGTTTTACTCCAAACATCTGTTGACAGTCAGGTTTACTCCCTAATTTGAGTGTCTGTCATTCTAATCTCTGCCCTGATTCTTGGGAGTAGTTAGCTAAAGGCAGGCAAGAATCTCTCATGTCCTCATCCTTCCTAAAGAGATCATTTTATGCAGGATCTGGTATTAATCTGTAATATGTATTTAAAGTGCATTTAGATATATAATTCATCTTATGCACTGGGAATTCAAACCACCAAATTAATTACGACAGAATCATAAATTATGCTGGTCATGTTATGATTTAAATTGTATATTAATGCAGATGATGTTTCGACTTTCCTAATAACAGAAATATCACCAGAAGCCATGGAATAGAATATCATGCGACGAAATAAGTTACTTCACATTGGCACAATTTACTTTAATTTGCTGAACTGAAAGAAGCAGTACCACTAAAAACCAGTCTGTGCTGCAGCACTTCTTCATCCTGTCTGTGCCTGTGCTCACATGAGGGGGGCTTGTGTCACTTCACCATGCCAGACCAGGAGAGCTAGCATTGGAAACCTGTCGTAAAGCAGACTGAAAATTGCTGTGGTTTGCATTTGGTTTTAATCTGAAATCAGCCTTCTAGTGATAAAATTGATCTTGGAACAATGACGTAACCGGTAGTTTATCAAGTCTAATCTCTAAGCATCTTTCTCTCTGCTGAGTGTTAATTGCAAACCTCCCACGCTTCACTGTGTGGGAGGTGGCTGACTAGACTCCTCAACGGGAATAAAATTGCAATTAAAAGTTAAAAAAAAATATGGCAATATTTCCATAAAGGAATTTTTTAAAACTAGTATTTTTCTTGCAGTATTTGTTACTTGCCCTTCAGACTGTGATTATCTACTTTGTCTAATTTTGTGGTTACTTGTAAGGCATAGTGATTGCACAGTTGAAAATTAGACTTTGCAAACCTTAACACTTTGTTTAGGATTTGAGAATTCAGAGTTCTCAATCTAGAATGATTTCTCATTAATAAAAGTAAAAGCCAAGAATAACATTGCAGTGTATGCAGGCGTGAGAGTGAGTTGTCTTTTCAGGTTACTATAGGAAGGCAGTCTGGAGAGCTCTGTCATGGAGATGGATATTTGTGTGACTGTAGTAGATTTCTGCCCATCATAAATGTTTCCTCAAACAGTCATTTAGTTACTAGCTGATGAATTTGTCAGATGTTCTTGTGTTGAAAAGTATTGAGTTACTGAAGATTCTTGTGTTGTGTCTATCAAATCAATATCAGAGCATGTCTGGATGTCTGAGGTCAGGATTTCTTAGGAATAATGAAGTTTAAATACTAATTCATCTAATATTGTGACTAAATTTCTCTTGAGATTGTTTGGATGGAGTATTCTCACATCTTTTCATCAAAATGGCAGTGACCTAACCAAATTATGAGCATTTGAGTGGTCCTTTCGTACTCTCTTTAGAAACGAGAGAAGAAGCGTCACCTTTTCCTTTTGCTGGGGTGCTAAAATATCCTTGGTGCTCTACAGATGGCAAAGCAGTTCAGTCCCATAACGGAGACAAAATGTTAATTAGGAAACCTAATAAGGGAATAATTTGAATCGTGTTTTGTGTTGATGATAAGCAAGCTAAGTCCCCCTGAAATACAGACAAAGGCAAGAGCCTGAATAGTAACCAGTCTTGAAATGATTATGATCTTAGGTGGGATGGTTGATTTGATGGAGGAAGTGGAAAGGCTCAGGTAGCCTCAGCCGTGGGCATGCAGCTCGTGTCTTGTGTTAGAAGCCGGCATGCAGAACCGAGCAGCTGCAGAACCTGGCTGCTGCCTGGGTTGCATGGTGTGGTCTTGTCTTGCATCTTGCAGCTGGCAACATCTGGCATTTAAATGCTGAGTGGTGTGCTGGGCGATGTGCCACTTGCTGTGGCTCTTGCTGCCCCTGCAGCTTTTTCACTCTGGCATTTTTGACTCTCTTCCTGGGGAGGGCTGCGTAGGAGCTGGAGTAAGCTTAATGTAACGTGTATGTTGTACCGTAGTAGAATTGGGTTGGTCTGTCCAAGCCTGGACGGCTGCCTTACGGAGTCAACCCCGAGACATTCTTGCCTTTTCTCCAGAGTCCTTTTATGACTGATGAGTTTACTAAATTATTTTAACACTGCCTTTTATTTTAACAAAGCCTTTTATGCTTTTTGTTGTTTTCTTACTGAATAATTAAAAAAAAAAAAAAAGAAAAGTAGGGAGTGCTCAAAGAATCCCTTCCAGCTCACTTTCATATTTGGTCTTGTTTAATATCTTGACCATTAGCAGGTGTTTTTCAGGGCTTTTTTTTTTTGTGGTTCAGCGTTTTAACTCACCAGTGTGTTTTACATGCTGATGCTTTTGTTGGGCTCATATGTTGAGAGATGCTGATGGTATCTGGTGCCTCCAGGTGTTTACAGCTGGCATTGGAAAACCTGAACCCCTTATGACTTTGCAGAGCTGCCTTTTTGTACAGTATGTCCGTGGCATGGTCCTGAAATGTCCTCAATAGTCTGATGGAGTTTAGGCTTTCCTTATTACATTTAAATGAAACTTAAACTCTCACAATATTGATGAACACAGTAATAGAGAGTTTCGGATTACCTCAATAATGTTCTTTATAAATAAATTTTGTTCTAGTTTGATTATTTGAAAATTCCATTGTCCTGTTTGATTATAAATATTAGCAATGAAAATTATAATTGGAGTTTTGTTTTGCCATGTTATTTCCTAATTTGTATCAGATAAAGTTTAAAAAACACCTAGGTATTTTCACTGAAGAAACTTTTCTGAATAGTGCAAGATAAGAATTGCCAGTATATGATGCTGAATTATGACAAATTATCACAGTATTTTGCATGTAATGTGAATTAAATATACACATGAATGACAGTGAATTGCTTAAATATTATTAAAATTAGAAAATGCGATAAGCAGAAGTGTAAATTTTATACACAGCACTGAAAATGTTGTCCTGGAGTTAGTTTCTCTGTTCACATAATGGAACGTTAACTTAAATGATATTGACAATGTCAGCACCTTTAACTCTTACTGTTGGCATGGCTTTCTATTTCAGTGAAATAAAAAGGAAACAAAAAGGCTTAAAAGTAGCAGCCAAAGTACCCTTTAAACAGTACACGTCGCTTAAAAATGAGTGCAAATTCCAAAACAGACAAAGAAGCATTCTGTGGCATGTATTGTCTTGTATGTAAGTCTAAGACTTAGGCATTCATGTGCAGTAATTGTATGTTAAGTGTGATGATATTCTTGCCAATACTTGACATTTCAGTGGTCTGACCCAGCCAGTGATCTGGCTGCGATCCTTACGGAATGCCTAGTAAATCTGTCTTCTTGTTTTCAGCACCCTCGTCCCATGTACATGCCTTGCATCTGGAAATGCCTTTAACCGATAGTCTAAAGTTACCCAAAGGGAATAGTAAAAAAAAGAGGTCTTCCACATCAGTGAGCTCTGAAGGGACAGAGATACAGTGCTCTGTGCCCGTAAAGGAGAAATGTTTTGAGAGTCTGAAGGAGAAAATATTAAAGAACGTGATTGAGAAGGACAAGCATTCAGAAGTTGGTAAACTACAATACTTTTTGTTTCCGGTGCTTTAGACAATAAAAATAATCTTAAAATGACATTAAAACTAATTTTATTGTTGTATATTTCTTCTTATTATGTACCATTAGGACTTTTTATGGTCTAATGACTTTTAAAGGAAAGTAAGTCATCAGCCAGACGTTGCACTTAGATGTTCTTTTTCAATTTGCAGGTGCAGTGAGAATGGAAAGAAAAGGAAAACTGGAAGAGAAAAGTTCTTCAACGTATGGTATGTACTAAGCAATAATATTTTTAGGAAAAAAGGAAAAATTCCCTAACACTTTATCTCAAAGAGCAAATGTAAAAATGTTAAATATTTCCTAGACCCAGCTGCATTTCTGTTGATCGTTTAGGTCTTAAAACCAGTTTTTATGTATATGACAAGTTTATTTTAGAAGAATAATTTTATAAGAGAAAATGAAAGTACTTGTAGCACTGGGACTGGGAAGGATACAGAAGTACTTATTAGAGGCCTGAGACGGGGAAAAAGTATTTTGGTTTGATTTGATTTTTTTCAGTTGAATTAATGATACTGCCTTTATTTCTTGTACTGTCTGATTTGAGGGAGGAGGAGAGAACAGTTCAGTATTACTAGCAAAACAATTTATATTTTCTTTCAAGAATTGCCAAATAAGAGGGCTTTGGTTTTATCCTGTGTTTTAAAAACAAAGAAAAAATTAGAAATGGATTAATAAGTGATTCTGCCTTGTTTTTAGAGGAGGTGAAAGTTCTGTTTCTATATTCCCCAAGACAGTAATAAGACTCCAATTTGTGTGCAGGAAGCATTCCTTAAATACTGACTTGCTGATTTATTTTCCGTAACAAGTCAATTTCCTCATTATTCATCTCACTGCTGATTACTTAGAAAATTATTGTGGATTGACAATGTTGGGGGATATATTTTGTCTGGGAAGAACTAACAGAATTAATAGTACTTGTCCTCATGCGTATACCAACAGCGCTTAGAAGTCAACTGCGGCGTAAAAAATATATCAGAAATTTTAGTCAGAATCAGTTTTCTATGAGGATGTCCTTGTGTAGTAGAAAGTCCTGACAACATCAGCAGTTTTGTGAGACTGAAATTGCCTTCAAATTATTTTCTGTGGGCCTAATAGTGGTTTTAAGATGGTTTTATCTTTTTTGCTTGGAATTCTGCACTTCTGAAAGCTTTTTCTCTCGCCCAAACATTTTTGTTATAAACTGTAAATAAAGTAGATGTTATAAACTATTTAAATAATGGCACTTATTTTGTATACTTTGCTGTATCTTCTGCTATGATACCTCAGTTAGAAATACTTAAAATGGTAAAACGTTATTTGTTGAGAGAAATTCCTTTGAACCATTCTACCAGCAATTAATGAGACATGCCCAAGGTATCAAGTAAATTAACTAAATCATTTTGATCTGACTAGGCAACTGGAATACTTGATTTTGAGAGTCATGTTTAGGTTAAGCCAAACGAAGCAAGTAATTTATAATGATACTGCTGTTTTAAAACGTTTAATTTTTATTTCAGGTAAAAAGAAAGAAAAGGAAAAGGAGAAAAAAGAGAAAAAGGAGAAAGATCATAAATCAAAACAGAAAAAGAAGAAGAAAAAAAAGAAGAAATCTAAACAGCATGGTAAGTTCAATTTACTTTTTTTTAACATAAACAAAACCTCTCAGTGTATTTCTGGCATTAGATACTAAAATTTGTTTCTAAACAACACAAATGTCAAATTTTAGAAATTTCAAAGGATAGGTTTTGGCCCTAAATATTGAAAGGATGCTTAGCTCTATGACCTAATTTTGTATTTATAACCTGTCTCTACATGATAGACATAGATATTTCATAGATGTGTTTTCTTACTTCAAAAGTTCTTTCATTTCTTCAGATTCTTTGCTTGAAGCTCAGTGCATGCTCCTACTTATTTTTCTTAGACATTAAAATTATTCTAGTATTGTCCATTGCTAAACTTCAGTGGTTTACTGTATAAAATGCAGCCCCTTCTTAACAGCTAATCCTTACCAGCTGAGGTTGGCATCTCTGTTGTAACAACCTTGTCTGTTGTCTTGACAAATAGTGGTTCTATTTGTCGTCTTCTCACTTACTTCTTCTGATTCTTTGATCATGTCACTCATCTTTTTATTTTCTGTGATTTCCATTCCCTAACAAAAACCCTTTCAAGCCGCTTTGTGCTTTTTTCTTGTTTGAGAAGCACTCCTCCTGTAAGAGTGAGGTTTAATACTTTAGCCCTATCCGTTTTGTAACTCTGCTTGGCATGATTTCTGTGAAAAACTGGGCAACGTTTGAGTTTTCTTTTTTTTTTTTTAAATAAAAAGATAACTACCCTGCTGACCAGTATAGTTTTACTGTTTCTTTGTATTTCTTACCCTTTTCCACATCCTTTGATTCTTTTAATCTCCCATAAAATCATGTTATAGGTTCCTTGGTTTACCTTTTTGTGTATTCAGTGCAATCTTAGTTGCAGCATTATGGCAATAAAAATAACAGCATGGGCAAATGCAGACTCATTCTGTCTTTTTTTTCTTGCCAAAGACTGAACTTTACTTTTTGTGTACTGTGCCTGCTTACTTCAAAAAGTGTTTCAGGACTTAAAATAATACTACTTATTTTTATCTTGCTGCTGGTTGGTTTGGGTTTTTTAGAACATCTTTAAATGTTCAAAAATTTAAAAATGAGAAAATAGACTATCCTTTCTGTGCCTGTCAGATTGACTTTACTTTCGTGTATGTTGAGAGTGTACTTTACTAGATATCAGTTGTTGTAACTTTGATAGAATACCTTAAAATATGGGAAGCTGAAAATTTAAAACCTCTCAAACAAAGAATTTTCAAGAAATTTTTCCTCAAGAGCATGTGGGGAAAACCCTATGCATTAATCGGAACTTCTCACCACAGACTTAAGATGCCTTGTGGTTTTCTAGAGTGATTATGCCTTTGTCTGTCCAAAATTTGTGCCATAACATGAAAATACTCCCAAATAATGAAATGCTTTACTGTCGACTGCGATAATCTAGGTTTCACATACTTTACCATCTTTATATTGGAGTAAAATAATTTTAAACTATACATTTCAATTGTTTATTTTATCTAAAAAATTATTGGGAGTTTTTTACTTGCACTGGGAAGGCATCTAAGTATTTGCAAGAAGATACTGGTAAATGCTTGGTATGCAAGAGCCAAAGAAAAGAATAAAAAGCCTGAGACCCTAAGCAGTCCTGGCTACTTCATCTGTGATTGTTAAAACATGGCAGGGTGAGTTTATACTCTCCACAGGTTCCGTTTTTAGGAATATGTTCAAAACTAATGTGCCATCACCTTGTATACAGCAATATCCCCAGGAGCACTCTAAATGCAGTTTGATAAGAGTAAGAAAAATGTTTTGTAGCTCTTCTATGCTTTATGACAGACTGAGTGTTGGTGTAAAAGTGTTTGAAAAGAGCTTGCATCAAAATAAGCAAAATGATGATAGAAGTATTTGACCTTTGATCTGTAAAGATCTTTTGAACAGAGCTGTTTCAACAGGTAACAAGTTAAGCCACAGGTTTGAAATATGTTCAAAACTACAAATGTGTGTTTTGTAATGGGGAAATGTTTACATGGTATTTCCCCGAGGCATCTGCTTCATGTATTCCCAAAGTGAAAGGTAGAGACATTATCTGTCATCTTTGGTGTTGAATCCTGGAATTTAGATGAACGATCAGAAAACACTGCTGTAGTGCACAGTTTAGAAGGTTTAGGAGGAGTCTGTCAGAGTGGTGGATCTCATCTGAGCATGGGATGCTTTGCTGTTTTGTGAAGCACTGTGCTTGAGATCAGAAGGTCTAAGGCTCTACACTGCCTGGGGAGCACTTGGTTCTCTGGGTCCATACAGCTCTGACATGCAATGGGTTCTGCAAACCTTTGGTCATCCAGGTTTGTAGATTCCAACAGAGTACCTCTTGCAAATTAATGTCAGAGACATCTTCTTGTGCCCAGTATTGTTCTTTGGATTTATCTTGTTAAGGTTGTAAGGTGGTTTATTGTGATGTGTGGTTTTTGTTGTTGGTTTTTCTTCTCTTTTTTTTTTTTTTCATTCCTTTGATCTTTTTGCCAGCCTGTCTTGAAATTTAGAAGCTTGGCAGAGGTACCATGATTAGATTCCAACTTCTAGGGACAATATCCAAAACTTTTAAATATTAGGAGAAAATTATATACCTCCCAATGCCCCAACAATTAGAAATCTTAAATCTAGACGCAGAAAGCAGTGGGACTTCAACTCGAGCAGTTTATTCTTTGCAAATTCATCTTGTGAAAATCTGTTTCTAGAGGTAGAAAACAGAAATTCCGAGGTATTCTGCTTGGATTTTTTTTTTTTTTTTACTGGGAAAAAAGTAGAATACTTTGGCAGGTTCTGACTTGAGTGTCTGACCCTAAAAAAGCCCATTGAAAAAATGATCTGTCAAAAAAAGGAATCTTCTCTTTCTCCAGGACTTACTTAGTCTGCTCTCTGGGCATGGGCAGAAAGGAAAGGCTGTGAGGCACGTTCCGTGCACGTGTGCTCCAGATAAGTTTTATGCAAGGCTTTAAAACAAAAAAAATACCCCAACTAAACCTTTTTTTAATACTCTGAATATATACCTGATGGACTGTTTGAATAAAGCTGTGTAACACAGAGGTAGGTAATTTCTGTTGCGATGTTCTATTACGGTGAGGTTGATAGCAACACAACATGAAATAATCAACTCAGCTACTTAGTGAGCTAACTCCCCTACAGTAAATATACTTAAGAAATGTGTAGATAGCGTCTTTTTTGACAGAAGGAGACAGTAAATATGAACAGTGGCTTTATGGAAGGTATTTTGGAGAGAAGTATATTGTGAAACCCATTGCAAGAAATCTGTAAATACAGGTGGTAGCACACACGCTTCCTACAGAAGGACGCAGGTTTGGAAATCTGATTGCTCACTTTATATTCAAAGTAAGAAGTTTTAAGAAAAGTAAATGGATACCTACTGGTAATTACCATTTGACCAGCATAAGACATGGTCAGACGTAGGTCAGGGCAATCCCATGCACAAGTACAGGCTGGGCGGAGAATGGATCGAGAGCAGCCCTGAGGAAAAGGACGTGGGAGTGCTGGTGGATGAGAAGCTCAACATGAGCCAGCAATGTGCACTGGCAGCCCAGAAAGCAAATCATATCCTGGGCTGTATCAAAAGGAGCGTGGCCAGCAGGTCAAGGGAAGTGATTCTGCCCCTCTACTCAGCTCTCGTGAGACCCCACCTGGAATACTGTGTTCAGCTCTGGAGTCTCCAACATGAGAAGGACATGGAGCTGCTAGAGCGGGTCCAGAGGAGGGCCACGAAGATGATGAGAGGGCTGGAGCACCTCTGCTATGAAGACAGGCTGAGAGAGTTGGGGCTGTTCAGCCTGGAGAAGAGAAGGCTCCGGGGTGATCTTATAGCAGCTTTCCAATACCTAAAGGGGGCCCACAGGAAAGCTGGAGAGGGACTTTTTACAAGGGCATGTAGTGATAGGACAAGGGGCAATGGATTTAAACTGAAAGAGGGCAGATTTAGGTTAGATATAAGGAAGAAATTCTTTACATTGAGGGTGGTGAGGTACTGGAACAGGTTGCCCAGAGAAGTTGTGGATTCCCCATCCCTGAAGGTGTTCCAAGGCCAGGTTGGATGAGGCTTTGGGCAACCTGGTGTAGTGGAGGATTTCCCTGCCCGTGGCAGGGAGATTGGAACTAGATGATCTTTGAGGTCCCTTCTAACCCTAACCATTCTATGATTCTATAAGACAGACATAAATCTGCTCAAGTGGGTCTGGAGGAGGGCCACGAAGATGATTTGAGGGCTGAAGCACCTCCCTTATGAGGACAGGCTGAGAAGTTGTTTATCCTAGAAAGGAGGCGGTTCTGGAAAGTCTTTGTAGTGGCCTTCCAGTACATAAAAGAGGCCTACAGGAAGGATGGGGAAGGACTTTTTATCAGGGACTCTAGTGACAGGATGAGGGGTAATGGTTTTAGACTGAAAGAGGGTAGATATAGATTAGATATTAAGAAGAAATTGTTCACTCTAAGGATGTTGAGGCACTAGGAGAGGTTGCCCAGAGAACTTGTGGATGCTCCATCTTTGAAGGTGTGAAAGGCCGGGCTGGATGAGGCTGTGAGCGATCTGATGTAGTGGAGGGTGTCCCTGCCTGTGGCAGGAGGGTTGAAACTAGATGATCTTTAAAGTCTTTTCCAACCCAAACCGTTCTGTGATTCTGTGATCTAGTGGAAGGTGTCCCTGCCCATGGCAAGGTAGTTGGAACTAGATGATCTTTAAGGAACCCAAACTGTTCTGTGGTTTGTGGTTCCATGACTTACCTGGGACAGTCTCTCCAGTTACTATGATTAAGGACAGATTTCCGGATGTGTTCCTTGAGATGTTACAAATAGTATATGTTAGAGGAAAATGTGTCATGCTGGTATCAGTATAAATGTCAATACTGCTGTTACCAGTAGGCAGAAGCGCACGGTGCTGTCTGTGCCTTTGTGTGTGTGGTCTGACAGCCTCATCCTGCTCCCCTCTCTGGCTGAGCTGGAAGGAGGGTCCACTAGTGAGAGTGTACAGATAGATATGTGTACAGTGGGAATCTCTTCAGCAGCTGGGCTTAGGCACTGTTTGCCCAGTAGCTGCCTCTGTATCCCAGTTTCCCAGTTGCTGACACATGGAGATATGAGCCTCTGGGGCCACAGCCCCACTGCAGTAGACACGATCTCACTCCTATGTGCATGCTCACATGTTCCCAGAGTTGGCCAGGACTCCTCAGGTCTCCATAGCCCCCCTGGCTCTCGCTCTTGGAGAGGCACTCACACCCCGAGCTGGCCCGTGCAGACCCACTCAACCCTTGCTCCCAGGCCACTTCACCTGCTCACCAGCTGGTCCAGCTAGATCTCTGCTAACAGTCAGACGCTTGCACTGGCTCCAGCTGCTTAGCAGGAGCTCATGGGCCTCTGTGACAAGAGATCCCTTGCAAGTGGCTGGCAGTTCAGTCACTCATCCAGTCTGTCCAGGTGCTGGCACCACAGATGCATGAGCCCTTCAGCCCGTGGTCTGACTCCATTTGCTGGTGCTCAGACCCCCGTGCACACACCTGCATGCTGAATAGAGCGCCTCTCACCTGCCTAAGAGTTAGAAATGGTGTTTAGTAAGAATCACAGAATGGTTGAGGTTGGGAGGGCCTTCTGGAGGTCCTCTGGTCCAAACCCCCTGCCCAAGCAGGGGGCCACCTAGAGCTCAGGACGATGTCCAGACAACTTTTGAATATCTCCAAGAGGAAGACTCCACCACCTATGCCAGCATGGATAGGTCAGACTGTGCTGATCAGACACAGGGCATGGCCAGACAAGTGTGCTGACCAACAAACTATTTCTGCATGACTGGCCCTTTTTATCCCCTTATTCCTCTATTTTCCCCACACTTGTTCCTCCCCAAGTCACTTAGGTCCATCCATTTTCCACATCTTTGGTTTGTTCCCTAAACATGCCATAAGAAGTCTAATGGAATCCCAAAATTATTTTCCCCTACATCCCATAGTGTGCCCCACCCCTGGGCTGTAACCCCTCACTTAGTCCAAAAGGTGATCTAGAGAGTTGCTCTGGGTAACGCATCGTGATGGGTTTCACCTCTGGATTACGAGGTGATGGCTTCTGGGACAGCCCTGGGAGAGGCCTTAGCAGGGTGTGTTTGTTGTTGGCCTGCTCATCGAGCTCCTCTGGACTTGTGCCTACTGTCCTGAGATGCTCCCAGGCTCATTGATGAGCTGATGGCTCCTGGGGAATGGGGAATGTTCCAGGAGGGTTTTCTTTGGGCTCCCTGTGCTCCTCTGCAGGTGTGCAGATAAGCTCTTATCACTTCACCTGACAGGACAGTCAGCAGTTACTTTTGGTAGCAATGTTGGTAGTGCTACAGACAGACCAAAAGCAAAAGGGGAGAGCTACTAGCAGCATCTTTAAGGCTAGCAGATGGTACAGGATGGATTGTGGAAAAAGAAGACCGTATAATGTTCTAGGAAAAATTATTCCTCTGAACATTCAGAGGTGGGGGAAAGGGGGAGTTAAATGCATAATGCTTGTCATAGCTATTAAACTTAATTATGCTTCTTACTGGAATTTTTTTTGTAAGATATGTTATGAAAAGCTTTTGCCATTTCATATTTACAGTTTTATCATCCTAATACCTCAATGTTCATATTTTTACTTCACAATGTTGCAGTATACTTAATTCTTTTTTTAATTTTGCTTTTGTCATTAACTTTACTTTTGTAACAGTGACTTATTTTCTTTTAACTTTTCAGATTATTCAGATTATGAAGATAGTTCTGTTGAATTCTTGGACAGGTGCTCCTCTCCATTAACGCGGTCCTCGGGGAGCTCTCTGACTTTGCGCAGCATGTTCTCGGAGAAGAACACATCATACCAGTACCCAAGAGCTATCTTGTCTGTCGACCTTAGTGGAGAAAGTAGGTTGGCTGAACAGCAGTTTTCAGTTTGTAGGTTTAATTCTTTAGGAAAGAGAATTTTAAAGGAATTTGGTTTGTGTTTGGGATTGTAGCTATAAATATGGTGACTGATTTATACTTCATCTATTTAACTCAAAATGCTTACGCTCCTCAAGCTGTTCTGCATTGTACTTTTGTTAAGTGTTGCTACTCTGAGGACATCACATCAAAGACGTTTTACAGAGTTCATCAAGAAGTCTAATATACCAGCAGTGTGTTTTTTGCTATATGCAAGTTAAGATTTTTAACTGCCAAACCCTCCTATATGTCTGTGAAGTGTTGCATCTCCACGCACACAATTTCACACGTGTTTATTTTTACTAGACCTTTCAGATGTGGAGTTCTTGGATGATTCCTCTACAGAAAGTTTGTTACTTAGTGGTGATGAATACAATCAGGACTTTGATTCAACCAACTTTGAAGAGTCTCAGGATGAAGATGATGCTCTCAATGAAATTGTTAGATGCATTTGTGAACTGGATGAAGAAAATGGCTTTATGATTCAGGTAAAGAAATTTGGGGGGTGGGGGGGAATATATTTTCCATGTGAATTTCTTGCTTGTGAAGGTGCCGTTTTGAGACCGAATTACATAGAGAGCTGTAAATAGAAGTGAACAATAACAAATTATTTCTACGTTCTGCATTTGGCGTGACTCTGTTCAGCGTATGCAGAACTGTTACTCTCGGATGGGGTTTCTCTAACAAATCAATGTGTAGACGGGTTTGTAAGGAAAGGTAACCTTTTTCTTTATAGCTAATTGATAAATTTGGAATCAAGTATCTTTTCCTGCATGCAAATCATCACTTCTGTCCACAGACCATCCCGATTATACCAGCCCTTCTGGTTTGGCACTTGTGCTTTGCAGTAGCAGTTGTAGAAGCCACTCTGTAAATGTACCTCAGCTGTATCCAAGATCTCTGCCATATAGGTGTTAATATTGTCAGTAACTGTGATGTGTGTGTGTGTGTGTGTGCTTCATCTTACAGCAGCAATTTTCGAACTAGAAATCCCTAGCTGGTTTTAGAAATGGCTAAGAATTAAAATATTGGTGTAGGAAAAACGGAAGAGTGTGCAATTGTCTGCATATCATTCAAGTGCTGATGGATTGTAACTACTGCTGCTTATTTCTTTGTACTCTAATGAGGGAAGCATTTCCCATTGAGTAATGAATAATTTTAAGTTTTTTGTCTCAAGGAATTCGTAATATAGTGATTAGGACAGGTGCAAGCAAAAGTGAGGAAGAGCTCAGTTGTCAATAACTTTAAAAAAAGCAATGAAATTCCTGTGGGTTTTTTTGCCCACTCAAAAAACAGGTTTGTATCCAACTATTAATGTGGTACAGTTTCTGATGTAAATATGGAGCCTTTTTAGTTAAGACTTGAAGGAAGCAAGTATGACTGTCCTGTGTTAATGGACTTTTGAAGTCTTTTGGAAATGACAGAAAGACCTGAAACCGAAGGACACAAAGACTGTCCCTGGGAACACACTGAAATGCAGTGCTGTGTTGGAGGAACTAAGCAGGAGTTCAGCTGCGGTAAAAATATGGAAAAATGGACTGGTGTAGAAACCTTTGGAGAGAGGAGAGGAAATGGTAGCCGTAGCAGTAGGACAAGAGGAAAGGTGTCTTCAGTGTTTTGAATAGGTTGATGCTCAATAGCATGCCAAAGCAAAGAGGAGAGACTTTTGGTAGTAAACCAGCAGATATTTACAACGCAGGCAAACGCCGAGTTGAGGACGGGAAATGTATTTTTAAGTGGTGGTTTCCTGCCCGTTTCTGAACTCCAATGACAGCCTGATTTTTTTTCCTCTTCATGCTTTGTCTCACTGAGAGCAAGCAGTTTGCTGTTTCTAGGCCCTCATGTCTTACCACTTCTATTTTGCTCTCCTATTCTCTTGTTTCTCCTCTTTCATTTTCTCTTCATTTTCTTTTTCTTTTAGATTTTCCATTGGTGCGATATTAAAAACACATCTTTCTAGCGCACTGGAGAGATGCTTTGTAAATATAAATAATTAAACTGAAGAGTTTTCTACTTTTCACTGTTATGCTGTAATGTATTACATTATCTTTCTACTTTACTGTAATATTATACTCTGGTCTTATGTTTCACTGCTAAATATTTAGGTGCTAAAATACTGAATGTTGTAATAAAATGTTATTAAATATTACGTCTTCATAATTTTTTTTCCAGTCTGGAATTTGTGATTGAGGTAACTTTCAGAACTGGAGCTCTTTTTTTAGCTTGATGTCTTTGCCTACCCAAACACAAATTGCCCAACTAAAATAATCTTACTCAGACCAGCTATTTAAGTTAAACTACTGTTCTCTGCTTTTGACGATACAAGAAATAGCTTCTCATTTTTCAATCTACTTATCTCAGTTTTAGTTTTTGCTTTTGTTTTTTTTCCCTGATGTCAGTGTGAAGAGTGCTTGTGTTGGCAGCACAGTGTGTGCATGGGACTGTTAGAGGACAGCATTCCAGAGCAGTACATCTGTTACATCTGCAGAGATCCACCAGGTACGGGTAAACCACCTTTATCTGCAGCTGTCTGCTGGGGATTTTTAAGCAGAGACGTTACGCATTGCTTAAATTGTTATAAGCTTTGTTTTGTGTTACCTGTTACGCTGCTTTGGGGCAAGTGATTCTAAGTTTGGCTCTGAGCAAAAACTTACTTTGCTGTTAGTACTGTCTTGTTCAGCTATGCTAAATCCTCCAAAACCTTAGCACTTCTTCGTGTCGTTGTAGTCTGAAAAGTCCTAAACAAATCGTTCTTGTTCAGCAACCTGTTTTGCCTATGCTTGGAATCGTATCTGTTCATTTAAATATTTTTTTTAGAGGAAAAGGTCTCATTACCACACTACACACAAATATGCTGTAGATGTCATTTCATATCAATTGCAATGTTATAATGTTTGTGTTTGTACACCTAAATAAATAAATAAATGAATTGTAAAGAAAGATGAGGAACTGCATATGTAAAATATGAAATAACACAGCACTTTTTATCGTATGCTCAAACAGCACATCTTGAACTTAAGATCGTTAGGATAAGTTTGAAATGGTAAGAATTAGGAAAACTGTTTACTTTTAAACTGAATACATTTGCTTTGTAAAATGCCGATTTAAAAATAATTCTGTCCATAAACCCATTTTTCTTAGCAGTTATATGGAAAAAAGATACAATTTGGAAGAAAATTTTTAATATTTTTCCTGACAATTGATACAAACGCACATACGTATCTTCTGGTGAAATATCCAGCAGTCCAGCTGTTTCAAAAGGGCAGTGGGACTACACTCCCAAATTTACTTTCATTCTGAGTTTAAGAAATGAAATCCGAAACTGTTTGCAGAGGTATAAAATAGTTCTGGTTCTATTAGTTGTTTTTGAGAAGAAAACTTAGGAAAACAGAGCTGGAAAGATGTGATTTTTTTCCATTTGCCCCAATCTAAATATAGATTGATGATACAGAGTCTTGTTTGGTAGTTCTGTGTGGTGTACTCTTTGAGCTGTCAAGCTTTTTCGTATTAAAACCAACTAATTTGTCTTGTGTTCTCTCCCTGCACTGTACTAGGTACTTCGTTATCCCCTGCTAAGCAGAGATTGTGTCCCTAATTTTTATCTTCTCTCCCTTCCTAACCATTACTTCTTTTCTTTCTGTGTCAGGAGAAAAAGGTCATTCACAATGTCAGTATTTTAAAGTGTATTGGGATAATGGGCAGAAAGGAGATAGACAGGGTATTCTCCTGAAAGGTATGAAGGGCTTCCATCACCCCGTTCTTTGTTCTGTATATGATGATAGTCTGATATGAAATTGAGTGTAAGACATTACAGTCTTGGTCAGTCTGTTTGAATTCCTCATTGTAAACACTAATATTGGAATAATTAGCATTATACATTTCTAGTTTCAGTTTTGGGTTTTTTTTTTGTTGTGTTTTTTTTCTTTTAAATGTTATGAAGTTACTATAGAAGCATTAGCTAAATACTGATTCATGCCTGTTGGGTTAAGATTGTAGATGTTGCCATAGCATGGGAGACCTAAGGCCCACTTACCTCAATGTCCTGTCTGGTATTGTCTGGCAAAAGGCACCTCAAAGCAGAGCATGAGAAGTCTTCTGTCAGATAACTTTGAAGTGTCTGCTTTTCATGAACCCTCCTGGCTTCTAATAAATAGATATGGACTTCAATATTGAAGCAAAATACTTGGTTTTTTTAGAAACAAACTAGGTGGTTTGAATATGTCCATATAAAATCCACTCTCTAATGTTTCTCTTGGTAACTCAGGTTTTCTTTTTTAAAAGTGAGCTGCAGTAGTTAAATAAAATGCCAATTTAAACTCTTTTTTTTTCAGTTAGATTGATAATAGCACAGTTCTTAATATCCTGTACTTTGATTGAAGAGGTCATTAGATTTTCATTTCAAATGCCATTTAGAGAGGTCTTGAGATTTCAGGTATATTTTTGTTTTCATAAACGTTAAGTGTTTCCTCTTAATCTATGAAAACTAAATTTTAATGTATTATAGCAAGATCTTGAATCGTCCTTTCATGGATGTTAGGACACATTTAGGAGAGTACAGCATATAGTTACAGCACTCTAGTTTTGAATACAATTCTGCTGTGGCTTTAGGTGGCCCTCAATTTGTTTGTTGTTTACCCCAGGTCAGAGGTGGAGTGCCAAATATCTTTATGATAAAGACTGGCTAAACAATGGACACATGTGCGGATTATCATTTTTGAAAGAAAACTACTCTCATCTTAATGCCAAAAAGATTGTGTCAACACATCACCTACTGGCAGATGTATATGGTGTAACTGAAATATTGCATGGACTACAGCTGAAGATTGGGATATTAAAGTAAGTATCAGTCCAGGGTCTATTCTCCATCTTTATGTATCTAGGTATCAGAGGCTACCAGTATTCTGTATGCATTCTTCTCTCACATTAAAGTTCGTTCTTGTGTAATAGTTTAAATAATTCAAGTGCAGGATGTGGAGTACCCTCAGCTTCAGTGGGAGTTAGATGTTTAGCACCTGAGCAAATCTGGTATATTGGGATTATTGGTGCTTTTTTTTTTTGTCACTTTTGTGTTAGAGACATTCTGGATTTATCCTGAATTGATAAGTGACCTGGGAATAATTACATGTTTGATAATGGTGCTTATCAATAGCTGTGATCTAGCAGAAGTGGATGCTTAATACTTCAGTGCTGTAAGTGGTATTCTCTATAACTTGCTGCTTTTTCTTCCCTTTGTTGTAGAAATAAGCATCACCCAGACCTTCATCTCTGGGCTTATTCTGGGATGCGAAAAGAACAAGAACAAATAACTGTTGGGGTAGAGAAAAAGTTAGTGACTTTGCCAGATGCTGTTAATCCAACAGAAAGGACGTGTCACAGTCAAAACCATAAAGAGCCGCCCAGTATACCCCAGAAGATGGAAGAAACGTACATCACAAGTGAGCACAGTTACCAAAAACCACAGAGTTTTGGTCAAGACTGCAAAACAGTCGCTGACCTTATGAGCTCAGATGATGAAGATACGAGTAGTTTTGAGGAAGATCCAGAATTTCACACAGAGAATAAAAACTGTTTACAATATTCTTTTAAAGATGATGGAATGAATGAGCAGGTAAGTATCGTTCTTCATCTGGGAACTTTCTTAGTTGGAAAAATACGTCCAGTCTGATAAAACTCAACTACATAGAAGTATTTAGAAATGTTCATTGTTGTAAGTCGATATCTTCTATCAAATAAGTCAGCAGAAATCACTAGAAGCAGAGTTGGATCACTGAAAAAGTTTCAGGTGAAGTATACCCATTTCTGCTGGTGAATGACATGCAAAGTATGGTTAAAGTATTGCCTATGCTAAAATTGCTTATGCTCAATCCAGTGTTTTGGGGGAAAAAAAATCCCATGCTTCAAATTCAGGGTCTTGAACCAGAACTTACATGTTTTTTGTGAGATGAGGAAAAAGAGACAAGTTTCCTTTATTCTCTCAATTCTGTATTCTACATGTTAGTTGGTTGTTTTTGTTGTTGTTGTTTGTTAAACTGAGATTTTTAATAGTGTTCATTATTGTACTATATTCTTTTAATAGCAACAGTATCTGAAATTCTGTCCACAAGTAGTGATTTACTTACCAACTAATTTCACCTCATGTGCAACTTCTTTTGAGTCTTTTATATTGCATATTTCTTCTAATTAAATGTTTCACAGGTTTTTAGTCAGGATTATATTTGGCTATTTAAACATATCTTTCTCATTTTTGCGTTAATGGTTTGAATCCATTGTGGAAAAGGTCCAAAACTTATTAGTCTGGTTTTAGTGTTCTCTTTGAGCAAAAAAAGCCAAAGTGAAACAAATCTTTCTGTTTTCTACAATACCAACTGTGTGAGAATAAGTCGCCCAACTCATCTCCCTTTTGAAGTACGGTTTCTGGTGTGGAAGAAATGAGTAAGATACGTCTTTTTTCTTCTAACTTTAGTTTTAAGTGTGGCATGTAAACTATGTAGTCTGAATGGGAAATTTTGGCTCATTCTAGTTAGAAATAACTGTTTGTATGCTAAATCACATGGTTATATTCAATTTGTATAGTAAGGAGACATGCAGCAGTGTAAAATATGGTTTCCTTCCAACAGTAACTTAAATTGGCATTGTAAATAGTATAAATACATTTAGAATTAAAAGAAAATATATGTGAGTGGTGAAACAAAACCGTTTCCTTCAGAGACTAAAGCATTTATCTAAAAAGCTGAGTGCTCTCTGTTTTAAACCAGGAAGGCATCTGTTGGGGGCACTGTCAGAGTACTCTTTCCTTTGGGACACCTAAGTTCACCTTTTTGTCAGTAGTCAGCCTTGATATCTGAAATAAGGCCTTCTGTCTAGACTTAATACACATTGAAAAGTTCTCCATGAACCTGTTTGCACTTACCGTAAAACCATGATGACACTGACTTTGAAGTGCCATTTTTACATGAACTGACTTCTCTGTAAGGTGCCTTCTTCACCTCTCCTTGTGAAAGTTTTGGTTTGGGCTTTAGGCTCTCCCTTCTAGCATCCTGCAGAGCCTTGAATATTCTGATTTTTCCATACTGTTTTGTCTTTCAGTTCTGTTACGTATCTTCCTTTCTCTTATAAAGTGTTCAGACTGACTATTATCAAGTCCCTTTTTGAACTGTGCATCATCTTTAAAGTTGTATTTAGTTTCCTTGTTCTTGCTTCTGAAAGCACAATCCTTCCCCACCTGAACCTTCTGTTTATTTCTTCTTCACAATCTGGATTCTGTACTCTACTTTTCTTAACTACCCTTGCCACCACTCCCTGATTGCCCACATTGATCTCGTAGCTTAGAGGAGGACCTGTTTGATCGTGTGGGTTTTTTTTTTCAAGGAGCATTTACTAGCCATTTAAAAAAATACAGAGGTCATTAAAAGGAAAAAAAAAAGTCTGTTATGATGTTATTTAGCTTTAAGATTTTCTCCAACTTACTGCAGTGGGAATCTAAAAGATTCATCTAGAATTATGGACTGAAGAATGCTATTTTTCCCTTGCTGTATGAGAACCTAAGCAACTTAGAATCCATCAGTCTGTATTTTCTTCTTCCCCTCTCTTCTCATTTTTCCCGTTCTTGACTGGAGGAAGATATGAAAAAAAAATGGTGTTTATGACGTGGAAAAAAAATTTACCTGAGCACTTCATCATAGCAGTGTATTAATACAATAAAATTCACTCTTGGCTCTGGTATTTGCCTGAACTGACTCCGTATGAGCACATGTATCCAGCATTCTAGTCCCTAAAATAGAATCATTAATAGTGAAAGAACTTCATCAGATATGAAGTCGTAGTGGATATACAGTAGAAACTCTGAATCCTGCTAATTAATGGAGATGCTGAACATTCTAACTCATTAAATCTGGTATCCTTCCTTTGGTCATTTGCATTAGCTGAAACATCAGACACAGAAAGACAAGGAACTTGTGTGTTATCTCTGACTCGCTAGGAAGGTACTAATTATTTCAAGCCAGTTTTCCTCAGATCCAGTTTGTATAACTCTGCGTGTTACAGTCCTTCTGTCCCAGACTTGTGCTTGCAAATTACATGGAACCATAGCAATGATAGGAAGAGAACTCTTTTGTCTTAATCAACAAGCAGAGTGGCCAGCTTTTTGGTGCAAAATAGTGACTTTTGACATCTTGGGTATTACTGCGTTTCAGAAAGTTTTCCATTGTTCTCTGGCTAAAGTTGAAACAAACCTTGAACGTTTTTGGTGATGGCACACAGATGAGTTCAGCACTTCATGGTTTAAGTCATGGTTTGTATAAAAAGGGCACAGAAATGCAGTCTGTCTTACTGCATTAAACACAGTGCTTGAGCTGGTAAACTTCTTGCCTCACTCCCCCAGCGCTATACCTGCTCACTGGTACGGAATTTGCATTTTGTTTGGTTTAGTCTATTGATGTATCATGGTACATGGCTTTTTGAATATGTTTTTTGTCAAGTAGCCAGAAGTACAATTCCAAACCAGCATAGTTTATCGTATGACTCAAGTGTTGAAATCAACACCAGCAATTAAAAGAAAAGAAAACAAAACCAAAAAAAACCACTCTTAAATGGCAATTTTTTTTTCTTTCTGTTGCTCCTGCGAAGAAGAGTTCTGCTGAAGGAAACACTGTGTTTGTTTGTAATGAAAGAAAAGGCTCAGAAGAACAAGTAGACACACATCTTCAATGGCAGCTAAATCTCCTTACCCATATAGAGAATGTACAGAATGAAGTCACCAGCAGAATGGACCTGATTGAAAAAGAAGTTGATGGTAACTGCATTGCCAGATACTTGTTAAGACACTTGTAACAGCATCTTTCATAACCACTCTGTTGAAGGTGATCTGAGGCACTGAGGATGGATTTTTAAGTATTGTACTTAAAGTTGGGTACCCAAAATTATCACCAGAGTTTGTACCCTTGATCCCCCTACCCCCTCCCAGAAGTTTTGAATGCCTGATAAAGTAGCCTAAGCATTCAGGACCCCTGAGGCAGACTTCAGAAAGCTTAGATCTAGTCTTTGTCCAGATATGGATCATAAAGCTGATGGATTTTTCTACACCTGGAGTGCTTTTGGCCCGATTGTTCTAGTAATTGATAATATTCAGGACAAAAAAGAGCGTTCATTCTGCCTCCAAGTTTGGTTTGCTATATATTAGTAAGTAACTGGTTTCAGGAAAACCAATCAAGCTTCATGAGAAAACTTGAATAAAATTATAGTGTAGGAGTAACTATTACAGCATGTAAATTCACGCGCTAATCATAGAAATTAAGAATAGGGACAGCTCGTAGTCTAGTTGTATGAGTCCTTAGTTTTCTTTTGGCAAATAAAATGGTCTTATTCCTATTTGCAGTTTTACTTTTAATAAATATTCCTGCTTGTACTAGACAGTGTAATTGCTAGGCTGACAGGGTTGACCTTTTGTCTTCTCTGTCTCTACAAGATAGAAGTTCCTTGAAAACATTTGTGGAAGGTTGGAAAACCGTTCTGTAGTCTGGAGCTTGTAAACAGGAGCCTGTTTAGGGACGGAAGCAGGCCTTGCATTTAAGGATTGCGTTTTCTGTTGCAGAACTGTCACAGCTAGAAGATCATGAACTGAGGTTTCTTTTGTGTGTGTAGATGGTAAATTCTTAGCCAAGGGTAGAGTTTGCTCGCAGCTACCTTGTTACAGTAACAATCAAATCAGAAGATATGTTTGGGTTGTTTGAGTGGAACACGAAATTAGTTGGTGTTTCCCTAATAAACATTTCTTCTGTTAAAGAAAAATCACAGCCTCAGCATATTTCCCCTTCTAAAAAACGGAGAGTAAGAAAGAAGAGCTTAATTTTTGTGAAAACTGTTTCTGAAGACTTACTCTAATCAACTTCTTCCTTTTCCTTCTGTAGTTTTGGAAAGCTGGCTTGATTTCACTGGAGAACTGGAACCACCAGATCCTCTGGCAAGATTGCCTCAGCTCAAGCGACGTATCAAACAGCTCTTAATTGACATGGGGAAAGTACAGCAAATAGCAACGCTTTGCTCTGTATGACAAAAGGAAGAATAAAGAAATAAAAATAGGTTCTTTACAGTGAATTTTCTTACTAGCCACAAGACTGACAGGAAGACAGCAAAAAGCTGAGCATTTATCTGGTTCTTTGCTGATTGCATTAATAGCCTGAAGCTTTAGAGGGAGGAGAGGAAATCTAGAGTAAGGGATCTGTTATACTGAATATCTGAATATTGGGTGTCCGAGCTTCGAAGTGTAATATATTACATACTGACAAGTGCTGATGTGATTTTTAACACGATAAACAAGAAAATCCCCACGTATAAGAAAGTTGAACAAACAAAAACTCTGCAAAGAACAATACTACTATTTCGAAACCTTTGGCAAAAAAATTATAAGTTTTGCAGAATTGAGCTGATTAAAAATTCTTGGGAACTGCTTTTTTTCATGAATTCTTATCTTGCTAGAAAGATAGACACAGAGAGATCTGTATCCTCTCCACAAGGAAAGTTTTTAGATTGCTTCCTTCTCTCATGAATGTTCAAGAAGATGAACATACTAGCTTTGATGTTTGAAAGAAATTACGTATCATGGTCTCCTTTTTAAAGTATTTTTTTAAATAGAAATCCTTATTACAGCACCCTTAGGCTCCTTTAAAACATTAAGTGGCAAATAGTGGTCAGATGTGCCAAATATATTAAAACCACTGGGATGGGAGTTTGATTATGACTTACATGAAGGTTTTTTTCCAAAGTCCTACTCGGTGCCAGCAATCCATCCAAAATTGTACCTAGTTTATATTTTTTTATGTTCTACTGCAGTATTCGATATTCAATGTACAACTTTTGTCCTGGGTAGCTCTGTTTTGGTGTTGGCCCTCTGAAACTTTACCATCCTCAGCTGGCATGAGGAATGACAAGAGCAGCGAAACTGTCTGTGGCTGTGAATTTACTAAACCACTAGAATAAATATCACAAGATACATTATCCAAGATGTTTTTATAAAATCTTTCGGCTTCAGTGAACTAAACATCATGAAACCAAAGGCAACCTACTTGCTCTGTTCGCTCCTGCTGGATTTTGAGCCCAGGACTTTCCCTGTGCTTATAAGTTGCCGCTGTACCCAGTGCGACATACATACTTGTATGTGTATGTATATGTGTATAGATACACATGTACATATATACATACTATATACATTTATATCTACACATGTCTAGTTTTATTACAATAGATTATAAGAACTGGTGGTTAACGTGAAATGTTACCTTTTAACAAGCAGTTTCTAAAATTGAAAATAATGTATGTACAGGTTTTGAAATTTGTAAAATATGACTGTTAAAAGGAGGCTATTTAACTGATGACATTAAGATACTTGAACACTTTATGCCTCACATCTGTTTATCAGTTCTAGTTATCTGTATAAATGCGTTTTAGAACCGATAGACAGTAAACTTGAATTTACCTTTTGATAAGAGTACAAGCCACTGTACATTCAAAATTATTTAAATTTGCAAACACACTGTTCTATATGTAAGGTACTGTATGTAAAACTGTTTATTAAAACTATTCTGCATACTCTACATTTTCCACTTTTCTTCCTGGCCTACATACAATTGTAAAAAAGAAGTGATTGTTATCACGTACAGACCATCAAAAATCATAAAAAAATCTTGGAATGCCTTTTGAGGATGCATAAAATTGAAAAATGTGCCAAAGATGGATTATGTGGGAAAGACTTTGCAACCAGTGCATTGAACTTTCATGATAAGACCATTATTGAGGAAGAAAGCAGCGTGGCTGCTTCGTTGCTAAAATAAACTTACCCCGACGTTTGCCGTCTGTCTGCCATGTCTGAAGTGAGTTATCGCTCTTGGTGTCCAAAGCACAATGCTGCAGAGCGGTTGCTATTTAAAAAGTCTTGCCACATCAAGCTTATAGGAGACATTACAGACCTGCACGGTGACATGGAAGCTAATTATGGAATCATGATTGGCAACTTCATGATGCAGAAAGAACATGAAAGCTGAGGAGTTGTTGACGTTGTTGTAGCAACTGTTAATATAATACTCTGTTATGTTGATGGATGCTTAAATAACTGCTTCAAATAATATGAGTAGTTGAGTGACCTACTTGCTTTTGGATATGTGAGACTTTTTTATATATTATTCACCTGCTGCATATCCTAGAATGTGGTAGTGTGTGTACTGTATAAGAGAAATGTAAATCCAGATTAATTACTTTGAAACAAAGTGGAATGTATTTACATAATTTATACAGCATACACTGTAGCAATATTATGCAATGTGTGTGCATGCGTGTGATGTAATATAATTGTAAATGTTACTGAAGGTGGAGGTGGACTCGAGAGATTCCAAGTGGGAGGATGGAGGTTTCCTTCTTAGTGCAGAGATGGAGGAATAGTATCCTGAAAAGGAAATCCTAAGGTCAAAGTTAAGTTGCCCTTGAGCTTTAACTTGTCTTCTGTTTGTGTATGTAATGGTCTCTAAATTTACATGAGTATGTAATTTTATCCCTCAGGATCCTGCCGTATTCAGGATGGACTGTGCTGACAAAAACAAATAATCTCTTCAGTATTTTTTTATCTTCATTTCTTGTGTAGTCACGTATTATAAAAGTTTCTGCAAGCATTCATATCTTCTCAGAAACACAATCTCAGTGTCCATATGGACAGTGCCGTGGTTCATTGTGTATTGCTTGAATGCTTCACAAACTTGTCTTGAGTTTGCGTTCTGGAATTGTGATGTTAGTCTGTAACATGTGAACATTAGTTTTGGCCCCAGTTTCTGAAGTATTCAAAGGTTTGAGATGCTTTTTGAAATTTTTTTTAAACACTTACAAGTCAAGTGCCATAAAAACGCGAAGTGTTTTGCGCAGAATGTAACCTACAGTTGATTGCTTTGCTCGTGTGCCAGTCAGACCCCATGTGATGATCTGGCTCATACCAGTTTTTCTTCTAGTTGGCCTTATCGAGAGAATCTTTTTTCCTGTAGGCATCGCTTTCCATCTGTCTTCCTGCTTCCTCTGTGAATAAGCCAGGGACCTACACGCAGTCTATTTGCAGTGTCATTTATCGGGGTGTGAATTGCGATTACTGGTGCTGAATGATGAAGGAGACAGACCCTCTCTGAGGAAGAAATAGTATATGGCAGTGTAGTGATACATGTGCATGGAAAGGTCAAATTTTTAAATTTGCAGCCTCCTTTTAACTTAATATACAGTAATGAAAAAAAAGGGAAATGCCACTGTACAGAAGCCTCCTGTGATTTCACAGGACTAAATGGCAAACTTGTGGAGCCTTTAAATGCCCAGCTTTTTGTCTGAGGGTTGTGGGTTGTGTTGCTTTTTTTTTTCATGGAGGTATCAGGGTAGTTAATTTCAAAGCTTTCTCCTTCCTCTGGCTGTACCATTGGCATCTACATCAGAAAATCTGCAAATTTTCAGTTGCAGTGGTGGCAGTAGGACAACAGTGTTGCAGTCATAAATGAAACGTCGTCTTGGTGACTTGATTGGATATCGCATGATGGGGCTGCCGATGTTTCAGTTACAAAATGAAGGTATGTCAAGTCAAATAGCAGGGGATAGGCTGGAAGACGCTTCCTACTAATGCTTTTCTTGGGTAGCTGTAGGTTGAGTAGTGCCCATGTTTTGGATATTCTGGCCTTGGATTGCCTAGATCTTTATGAATTGTGGCATAGCTGAATGGTGGTAGAAGCCTGTCATCCTCTTTAAATAGTCGAAGAGGATGAGTTGCAGTTTTCCAATAGATTTCACATATTCGCTGTGCGACGAAAAATTGAAACTGTTTTTCCATGGGTGCAGTCCTCTTACGTGACTAACATCCACCTGTCCCCCTTAATTTTGTCTCTAAGCTTCTCCATGTGCTCCTCATCTGTTTGTTATGCAGCTTCCATCAATTTCTCCTTTTATTCTTCAACTTTCTGCATTCTCTCTTCTTGCATTATGCCTGGAGAGTTTCACTCCTATGTTGTTGTGCCCAGTTCTTTCTGGCTCCTGTGGGAAGCAGTTTTAGGGAAAGGTCTCCTCTGCTCTTCTGTCTTCAGCCTCCAGTGTGTCCTGTGAGCTGTGTATGGTTAGAGTGGGCGTACCATGATCAAAATCTTCAGATGTTTTTGTTGCCTTCCTTTAGTCAGCCCCTTCTGATCTCGTGCAAGTGATGATCTCCCTCTGCTCCGATCTGGCTTCTATCTTAACTGAACTTGAATGACTATTAGAGCAAAACTCCTCTGGCATTATTGGGCTCCAGCACTCCTTACCAGACTGAAGGCTGGGATGTAAAGGAGTCGCTCGATCATCACAGTAAAATTATAAAAGTACTTTAATGCTTACAAACCAGAATATTTTTCCTTTGTATTTGAAGAGAAACTGCAATGGTTTTTCTTTACTGAAACTTCGCAAGACACAAATCAGATCCTGAACTGAACTGGAGCTCGATGGAAAAATCAACAACAAAAATAGGTGGTGGGAAGCGCTCTGCAAACAGGGGCTTCGTAAGAAGTGTACAGTCAGGCCGGCTTGACTGCCTTGCCCTGTTAGTAGTTGTGTGGAGGAGCTGATGTGTAAAGGGGGTGCCTGCAATTATGCTATTAATTAGCAAACAGGACCCATCTTTGCCATGTTGGTTTAGAAGGCTGGAACTGTAGGATTTCCCTCTATGGCTTAGAAATGTTGCAGTACATTCATCTTAATTCTGGAGTGCTTATTAAGGTCAGAGGCTTAATCACGTTCTGATTGCCCATTGCTATGGGACACACACATTTTATTAGCTGACTTTTTTTTTTTTCTGTTGTACTTTAGGTGATCATTATACAGAGGATGTTTGAAATACTTCAGTAATGGTTTCTATTATACTATGTGATGTCCTGGGCACTGGGTGTGGGAGTCTGTCCTTAGCAATAAGTATTATACACTGTGTGTATATCTGTTTATATATGGAAAACAAGTATGGAGCATGTGACGATGGTGAAAATACACTGCACAGAGAGCAGATGGCGCTTTGGCAGCCTTTCTGCACCAGCCTGAACAACTCAAGTAAAACATTGGAGACTGCATGGAGAAAACGGAACTAGCGTGAAAAATCATTCAGGAGTGAATTTCCCTTTCTGTGCACACTGGGGCTGTGTGTGAGTGGTAGATGAGCCGGCCTTATTCTATGGATGGAATAACTCAAGCTGGTTCAGTTGCTGTTTATTCAAACAGCAGCTTTCCTTTCTTCAAAACTGGCCAGAGCCAC